TGGCGTGGATACAGACTGGCATCGGCGGTGTGCCAGCAGCGCTGACAGGCGGCGGTGGACCAGTCCTTCGCTCTCCCCTAGCAGGACAGAGAGCAGCGGGATTGGCCAACAACTCCCTCCGTGCGGCATGTGTCCTTCCCGTGTTTACAGATGGGAGTGGTGTCCCCGTTTCCCGGGAAATTCGCAGACCGCCGTCAGCGAGGGAGGTATTGATCACCGTTCTGTGCGAGGAGCGGGCAGCGGGTGCAAGATGGCACAGAAACAAATTCAGTGCGCCGCCGCGGCCAGGGGCCAAGCAAGGCAAACAGTGGCGGATGGTGAATTCAAGCGCATAGGGCGTGAAGGACCCATCCATATCACAGTCACCAGGGGACACGCAAGCACAAAGTGTGCGGACAGCACTGGGGATCGCAGCACGTGCGACGCGGACAGTGTGACTGACAAGCAAATTTTCCTGCTGCCAAGACAGAGCACAAACGCGGTCCCAACAGTACCGCAGCACGGCCGATCCCAGAGGGCAGGGACGCGGTGCCTCCATGCCTCGCGGCATCAGAGGCCTGGGCTCGAGAGGGCACCAAGCTCTTTCGCACGGACCACAAGCAGCATGGAGAAGTTACGGCAGAGGGCATGATTGCGGCACTCCCGTTTGCGGACATCTTCAGCTCGGGGCAGGCTGCCTCCCGGTGAGGCTGTGTGCGCGTCCCATGCTGCCGCTGCAACACACTCGGCCTGCTCCACTCTGACCGTCCAGGTTCATCAGTGGCTGTCACGGCTGCCGCGCGGAATGGTGCGCCTTGCCGCTCGCTCGGTGCATATCCAACCGTGTGGTCAGAGTGGCCAGAGGCGTTGCACACACCGAGGTGGAAGCATTCCAGTCGGCCTCACGCAGAACAACGACGGCACGTTTCCGTCGCGGCAGCATGCCTGCCGGTCGCGGGAGGCCGTCCTCCGTCCCCGCAGTGTGGGATGGCAGATGGTAGTCCGACTCCATGCAAAGGGGTGGATGTCCAGTGGGAGACACGCAGTACGCGTTGCGCAGTCACGTCGGGAAACGAGACGCGGCGGCCGCTGATCCGCGCTGGCTGTGCCGGGTCGTCGGACAGCTCACACTCCATGCCGCTTGAGGTGGCGGCGAGGTTCTCTCCTGCCGTCGTGGATCGTGAGCGACCGTCCCGCAGCTCATGGTGCGAATTCAGGTAGCCCGCAATAGGCGCTGCAGGAACAAGGCGACAAATGGTGGTCGCAAACTGGGCAGCGTGAGCGATTTCCAGAAAAAGGCCGCAGAGGTTCACCACGTACATGCTGGGGCTGGCCGGTGGGCACACGCGGAAGGCAGTGGTCTCCAGAAAGTTGGTGCCACGAGCGGCAGGCACTCGCACAGCAAGGTGTGGCGCACCAAGAGTGCCACGCCACCGGCACGCCCACTGCAGGTCTGGTGGAAGTCACCGCAGCCAACGCGCCGCGTCGCTGGGGCGCCCTGCTGCCTGCACTCCTGCAGAAAAGCGGTGTCAGGTCGGTGCTGCGCCAGTCGAGCAGCAAGGGCAATCCTGGAGGGCGAAGGGCTGGAAGTTCCGGGCCTCCAGATAACTACGAGGCCATCCTCATCGGGGCGGCGGCTCCTGCGGACACCACCGCAGCGGTTGATGCCGATGGAGTGACCGCAATGAAACGACTGTGCGCTTCTGTCAGTCAAGCTGCAGGCAAACCGCCTCGCCGCTACACAACCAACAGAGCGTGGGACCTTCTCAACGGGTGACGCCGCCGTGGTCCCCGTCACGCTCGCAGCAATGCCCTGCCGCAATCACTCCCACAGAGAGACAGGGAAGAGTGTGTGGATGTGTGTCGAGAGCACAGCGACTGCCATCGTCAGAGGAGGCCATCGTGGCACCGTCCGTCACGCACCGGCACACACCGAGCAACGCACGCACCCGGCAGAGAAAAACCAAAGAGGAGAAAAGAATGACCCCAAGAGCAGGCAGTGCTTTCACATATGGCGTGCATCTTGCAGCCGCGTCAACCGGCCTCCAGCAAAATAGAAAGAGCATTCCTGCAGTGCACTGTGCAAATAATTATGTGTGCTGGAGGAGCAGAAGAGAAGAGGAGCACAGGGAGGCACATCAGCACGGCAAGAGGCACAACTGGATGGCAGCGACACATGCGGCACGGCCCAACCTCAACAATTACGCACGGTGGCAGCACACGCCCAACCAGAGAAAAGAAAAGAAAAACACGGCGGCAGGGTGTGGCTGTGTGTGTGTGGCGCTGCGGGTGTCTGCCAGCCCTGACAGCAAAACAAACAAAACAAGAGGGAAAAAAATGTGTGCTCCGCCCCACAGGCCCTCGTCGCACGCCCACACGTCACGGCTCCCTCAGCGCGCCGTTCGTCGCGGCCCCTCCTCATGCGTGCAGCAGGCGAGGCGCAAAGGGCCGTCGTCATGAGCGTGTCGGTGGGTGTGCGAGTGGAGCAGTTGGGCGGGAAACACACGGCACCCCTCGCAGGAAGAGTGCAGCAACAAACAATTAAAAGAGGGAAGAGTAGAAAAGAAAAAACGTCCATAGTGATTGCCCCCCAAAAGCAAAAAAAGGAGGAATGGTTTAGTAAAATATATAAACGCTCATAGAGGAAGCAAATTAAAAAAATTAAATTTACAAAAACAGAAACAGTTACGGTGCTCCGCCCATGCAGCCAGGCAGGACGGCAGCGGTGCGTGTCGTGCAAAAGAGAGCACCAGCGGGCCTGCATGGGTGTGCATGCATATATACAATGGGCACATTATTGTGTGTGCTTCGTGGGGTGAGGTGAGGGCGAGAGTCCATGCAAGGGGACACACACACACAGAGAGAGAAGGACGAGTGTGTGTGCGGGCGGTGCATGGCTCTCTCTCCCTCACTCTCACGCGGCCACCACCGCAGCAGCCGCACACGCAACAACAAGAAGAAGAGGCAAAAGAGGGGAGGTGGTGTGGGAGACCGCGGTGCTGCCGTCACTGTCGCCTGTATTTGCGGTGGCATTTGCACGAAGGGCGTTTTTATCTTTCGCGGATTCTTTGTCATTTTCTGTGAGATGCTCATTTGGGTCTTCTTTGTTATTTACTGCTGTTTCAGTAGATTCAGCATTGTTTTGAACCTCCGCGTTTCCCTTGGCGGCCTCATGAGTAGCAGCAACACCAGCACGTGTAGAAACGGAGGGTAATGATGGGTCGTTATTTCCATTTGATTTACTCTCCGCGCTAATTAAAGGAACTTCTCCTTCTAGCTGCTTTGTTGAACCGGCACTGGTCTGCTTCTGTTGCAATTCTTCTGGAGGTGGATTTGCCAGTGAACCTCGCGTTGTCCCTGCCTCTATTGGTAAGCCATGCAGTGTCTCGTGTTTTCCGTTTTGTTGTTGTACGTGAGCGTCTCCTTGTTCTTCACGTTTCTTTTCCTTTTCTTCTTTTTGATAGTAATTTTCTTTATCAAAGTGTTCGCTTCCTGCCAGGGGTTTTTCCGCATGGTTGCGTGTTGCTTCCAGGTGACTCTCAATTGAATTACGTTCTGCAGCACCTGCGTCAGGTTCATCAACGTCTTCTTTTTCTCTCGGAGGTTCCTCTACGGGTTTGCGTGGTGCTATTTCTTCGACCTTTGGTGGCTGGTTGTCCCCTTGTAGTAGTTGTTTGGTTTTATTGTCTTCTTCGTGCAATTTTTTTCCTGTTGTTGTTTCTTCTGGATTTTGTGTATTTTGATTGTCGATTGGAGTTTCTCGATCTTTTAGACTTTCTCCCGGTTTATTTTCATTGTCTTTTGGATCTGATTTTACTCCTTCTTCCTCTTCTTCTGCTGCTGATGCCTGTTTCTCCGGTAGATTCGGTGGAGATGGTCCTGTTGAAGGAGAATGTGGTGGTGGTGTGTTTTGTCCCGTGCCACCCTCACCTCCCGGCAAAATTCCAGACCCTCCTCCTCCTGATGGTAAAACTCGTCCCGCCTGCGAACTCTGCTCTGACAAAAATGACCGTTCCGAACTGTCGCCGTTTTTGACAGGATCCTCACCATCTTCAGCAGCAACAACAACAACGGCAGAGCGTTGAGGCCCCCACCGACGACGGCCATCCAAAACGGCACGCACACCGTCAATTCCCTGACGCACGCATTCCTCAACAGCAGACACATTCGTCCTGCCTCCCGTCCTCCTGATGACCTCCTCCGCGCACTCCCTCCGCAGCTGAGTGATCCACCACGAGCCCCAATACTCACCCGCACTGCCATTGGCACTGCCGACAAAATCGGCCGCAATTCCAGCCAAACCGCACCACAGCACGCAGAGGGCACACACCAGCGGCATACGGCCGGTCATCATCATTGCCATCACTCCTGTCACTTGCGTGTAGCCTTCAGCACAAACTAACAACACGTCAACGCAGAGTGAAAGCAAAAGGGGAGACAAGTCACACAGCCACGCACCGTCCCATCAAGCAATGAGAGTCACGCATTGTAACAAATGAAAGCAATTTACACACACAAATGAGACAGATGGAATCAGTACAATTGTAAATCTAAAAAACCACCCCGCGAACCAGAATTCCTAAAAAGCAAAAATGAAATAACAACACATCCAAGGTTCCGCTGCGCATGCACATACGGCGAGAGCGGTCCGTCGTGCCCGCACCCTCACGGAGGGTACGCACACACACAAGAGGAATAAGTGCAGCGCACACAGCAACACAAAAGCAAAACAACAATTAAAAAGGGAATGATCCCCGCACACCACGTGGATTGTTGGTCCACGGGAAGTGCAGCCAATATTCATCACACGAACAATTTAGTTTACTATTCCTCGATTTGCTTTTTGCTGCTACAATGACGAGTGAGCAGCGCAAGGGCCGTCCGTACAAAAGTGGCAAGTATTCCGTCTCATACGGGCCGTCGTGCGGGCTGAGGCAGTCCCAAACAGTCGCGGTCCCTATCCCCAACGACGGGGCATTCCGACAGTGGATGAGGCACAGTTTCCCGTGGTCCGTCGGGAATCAGCAGCCCATGGCGTCTGTGATGCAGCAGAGGAATGGCTGAAGGGCTGTGGTAGTCATTGAGTTCCCGCGGTTGTGCTTCCTGCATGTTTGGTCTGCTGGCATGCTTGGCAATTTCGGTGGCGACCTGCACTTAAGGCGCCTGTTAGGAGGACGGTGGCGCCATTGCGGCATCCGCATGCGAGGCCCTCGCGAACTATTATAACGCCAGGCCGAGCACGTCCGGCATGTGCCCTCGTACTGTGGACGGACGAGAAGACGCTGCCGCAGATTGCGCAGGAGGACGTCAATCCACCGCTCGCTGGTCGACAAGGAGTTGCGGTTCTCACGCAAGGTGGGGGTTCCGGAGGCAGGAGCGGGCCGATCTCCTCGGTGTGGGAGGGAAGGCGCTACCGACATAAACGGCCGCCCGTAATCTGCAGGGCGTGCGCCATTCTACCGAAGAGCGGGCAGGAGTCGCATCGCAGTTGTGCGCGGAGCTGCGGGTCGTGGCACAACATTTGGCCGGACACAAGTAATGGAGTTTTCGCTATACCGACGAGCGTCAGTAGTGTGGTGTGCGCGCCTTCCTCTTCCTCCTGGACTTCCTTCCAGCATAACCTCTTGACTGCGGCAAGGAAGCCCACGTGTCAGATTGGTACACCCCATTGCGGGGAGGGAACTTGCAACCGCGGCTTCTTTCTCAGCGGCCTCATTGCATGACGCACCGCAGTGCGATGGGGAGAACACACATTCTACAGAGTGCCCTCGCTTCACCAAGAAAAGTAGCATAATCCAAATTCCTTCGGTAACGCAGTCGTGCGCGGCCAGCGAGCCAAGGCGGAGTGCCTCAATCGCCGAGAGGGAGTCTGTGGCGACAGGAACTCGTGTGGGCGATTGGGATGCTGCCAGGCGGGGAACTGGGAACTGTCCGAGGCCATGCTCGGAGGCAGGACACTCCGCACGGCAGGAGCATGCAAGTCTGCCAGCGGCTGCGCGGTGAGGCCCCACAGGGAGCGCGGCTGTCCGGGGAGTCAAGTGGCAGCGCAGCGGATTCTATTCACGCTCAGCGAGAGACAACGAGCCGTCCACCGCCAACACAGGTGCCAGCGAATAACAAGACGTTGAGCACGAATAGGACACGTATGGCCGCACTGCCGTGGGCACGGATATCGGCCCCGATTCACTCAGCAACAGTGATCTAGCGCCCTTGGATGGTACAATATCCACTCCTGAGCCCAGCACAGCCCTAGCAAATGCTGAAAGAGTGATAAAGTGTCGGGTGGCGGTGATGCCGCACAGGATTATTTGCGCACAACGTCTGAGAAACCAGAGATCCCATCGGAGCACGACGCAGCATCACTTGTGAGCAACGGTTTTTGTGAGCACGGGCACTTCACGGATTTATTGACCATGGCTGAAATTCGTGACATCGCCGTGCATGGGTGTGTGTCTCGGGTGATGTTGCTTCTGATTCTGGTGCTGCCAGGCACTGCGGCGCTCTGCTGAGGTGTGAGGGAGGGCGGAATTGAGGCTTTTCGTGGAGCAATAACTGTGCAGCTTGCCAGCATTATCCACTGAGTTTTTTCAATAATTTAAGTTTTTTATTCTCTTTTATTTATTTTTGCTGCTTTTGCCTTATTGGAATAATTAGCATCCCTGTGTTTTCCCCCAATGGTTGCTTGCCGCACACCGTCATGAGTGACGTGCTTCTACCCCTTGTTTTCGTTGCGCACACGCTGTGCCGGCCCTGCGGCTGTGCGTCCCGCAGACTGCACAAGAGGAGGGTTGGGAGAAAAGGCCGGATGCCGCACGAAATGTGAGGAGAGTTGTGTGGGCTCACGGAATAGTACGATTTTTTTTTTTTGTGCTTTATTCGGTCCATGCAGTACGTATACGCAAACCAGTGGGTCCTTTACATTTTGCTTTTTTGCAAACAAAATAAAAGACGTGCCTGATCGATTTTTCTTTTTTTACTTTTGGGAGTTTCGCTGGACTCTCAAATCCGTTGTTGTGCTTTTTACTGCATTTTTAACTTCTGGTTTGCAAGGCGTTGTGTGAGTTCTGCAATTGTACTGATTCCAACTGCCTCGTGGTGTGTGACTCTCATTTCTGGATGGGACGGTGCGTGGCTGTGTGACTTGTCTCTCTTTTTGCTTTTTGCGTTGACGGGGAGTTAGTTTGTGCTGAAGGCTGCAGGCAAGTGACAGGAGTGATGGCGATGATGATGGCTGGCCGTGTGCTGCTGGTGTGTGCCCTC